GTTGTGACCCAACCATAAAATTATTTTCGTTGCTACTTCATAACTCTAATGTTGCTACTGTTATGAATCGTAATGTAAATATCTGATATGCAGGATGGTCTTAGGCGACCCCTGTGAAAGGGTCGTTCGACCGCCAAGGGGGTCGCGACCCACAGGTTGAGAACCGCTGCCTAATTCCTTCAAGTGCCTGACCAAATCAGCAAGCCTTCCTAAGTATCATATTCAAGTTTAATAAATGAAATTTATAACTATAGTCAACTATAATTTCTCTGAAACATTTTATCACTCTTAATCAAAATCTCATACCTTTCAACCTAAAATCATGATTTAAAAGTCAATTACTCAATGAACTTAAACATATTTAATAACAATATTAATATAACAGATAATCTAATGAACTCAATTTCTTTACAAAACTTTATTTAATGATTATTCCTAAATTTAACACAAAAGTGTAGGAATAGTGTGGTAAAGAGCACAGACTCTGAAGCCAGGATGCCTGGCTCTTAACTTACTGGCTCTGTGACCTTGGGTAAGTCTTAGTCTCCTTATCTCTAAGTAGGGGTAATTATATTACCTACCACATCAAGAGGTAATGACAATTAGGATTTAAATGAGTTAATATTTATGAAATGCTTAAAACAGTATGGCTCCATGAGTGTGTTACTTTTTAATTTTTATTTATTTGTTTGTTGATTTTTAAATGTTTTCTAAAATATTTTTATTTTTAGAGAGAGAGGAAGGGAGAGGGAGAGAGAGATAGAATTATCAATGATGAGAGAGAATCATTGATGGGCTGCCTCCTGCATGCCCCCAACTGGGGGTTGAGCCCGCAGCCATGTGTCCTTGACTGGAATCGAACCCGTGACCCTTCAGTCCACAGGCTGACACTCTATCCAGTGAGCCAAACCAGCGAGGGCTAAATATGTTTTTTATTGATTTTTAAAAATATATATTTTATTGATTTTTTACAGAGAGGAAGGGAGAGGGATAGAGTTAGAAACATGGATGAGAGAGAAACATCAATCAGCTGCACACCTCCTACTGGGGATGTGCCCGCAACCAAGGTACATGCCCTTGACTGGAATTGAACCTGGGACCCTTCAGTCCACAAGCCGACGCTCCATCCACTGAGCCAAACCGGTCAGGGCTTTTTTATTGATTTCAGAGAGAGGAAGGGAGAGGGTTAAGAGAGTAGAAACATCGATGAGAGACATTGATTGGCTGCCTCCTACACGCCCTCTATTGGGGATTGAGCCCGAAACCCAGGCATGTGCCCTTGACCAGGAATCAAACTGGTGAACTCTTGGTTTGTGGGTGTATGCTCAACCACTGAGCCACAACCAGTGGACTTAATTGATTTTGAGAGAGAGAAAGGAAGAGGGAGGGAGAGAAACATGGATGTGAGAGCACAACATTGATTTGCCACCTCCTGCACGCCCCATACCAGGAATTGAGTCTGCAACCCAGACATGTGTCCTTGACCAGGAATTGAACGGGCAACCTTCTGGTGCATGGGATGATGCCCAACCAACTGAGCCACACTGGCCAGGATGAGTGTGTTACTTTTAAAAAAAATACTATAGTTTTGATGTACTTCAAGATCCCTATATTTAATTATAAAATCTCTTGGGGTTAAAACACATTTATCCAGTTTTAACTCCAGCAGGTACATAGGAGTCACCATCAGAAGCAAACAGGGTTTATCACCCTTGAAAAACAATAGTGACTACTCAGGGAGTTGAGGTTGCTGGTCAGCCAGAGAGCATTTGACTAGGTGGGCTCAGCTGCAGTCAGCTCATTTCCAGGGAGATTTTCTAACACCGCTGAGGGACCCATGGGGTTCTTTTCTAGTGTTGTCATAACAGAACTCTAAATCCACACCCTTCAGAACGAGTTAGTCTCTTCTTCTGGATTTAAGTTTACATAATTCCTCCTTTTGAGTTGAGATTAAAGCATGGACTTTACCCTACCCACCCAGGGAGGTTGAAGATAATTTTCTATGGGTCTTGGTTGGATTTATGTATTTCCTTAGCCCCCCAAAGACAAGATGCACAAGAATTCTCTAGCCTTTCATATTCTCATGTGTTTCTTCTTTCTGATTATCAGTCTGCATCTCCTCACCCTGGTTTGCTGCTAACCTCCTTCAACTGTTTTCTTTACTGCCTAATTCAGTTCTAAATTATGTCTAAATTTTTCCTGTTTTGTCAGGCATCAAGTCTCATAGATATTTTAAGTATATATACAGCTCTTTAGATTCTGACCCTTTCTCCTGTTTTTGTCAAAACACTAGTGTCAACTCCTGAGTACTTATGCTACATTGGTAATGAGATACCATTACCTCTCATTCTCAGGTGCCTGCTCTGCAGTCCCTGGCTTGCAAATATCCTGTAAACTCTGTTGAATGATGAGCTGGGTATCAAAGTCCATGTCTAAGTCTTCATCACTGGTGTAATTATCCATATGAAACACCTACAGATTTAATTTAAAGTCAGAATGAATTAAAAATATTTTTCTAGTTGGACAAACAGATGATCAACTGCTTAAAATTATACATGAAATTCAGAAAACTACAAAACTGATAGGATTGATAAATGAATAAAATGCAAAATTTAGAAAACAAGATATTCATTTAAAAATTTTTCATAAACTTAAAAAAATTTCTGAACCGCCCAGATTCAATATAAATTAGAAGCTTCCATGAGTAACCATTTACTAAAAGCTTATTCAGGAAAAACGACCTTTCATAGAAACGTAGGTCAGTACCATTGTAACTGGAAATGCTTATCTTCATCTATTTTAGACTTGACTTATGAGTTTTTTTCAGTGATTATATCACTCACTCAAAAGAACATCTTTCTACATTCAGTGAAAGTTATGCTGAAAAAAATGTTATTTAGTTAGTAAATATTAAACATGAACATGTTATAAGAATAAATAATACAACAAATAATAGAAATAGTAGTCATACAAACCAATGCATTTTAGTAGGCAATATCTCAATTGTTTTAAAAGAACATTTCAGTTTTAGCATAGAATAAGTTTGATCACATACCAAAGACTTTTTACCTTCTGTTATCACCTTTAGGACAGCACTGCAGTTTTCACTGTTAAAGATTAGCACTTCAGAATTTTCATTTATATTTAGGATCTCCACTCCGCTGTAATGACCATTCCATTAATAGCTTTACTATAAATACTTGATCATAAGACAGTCTGGCACATTCTCCTTGTTTTTTTCACTTGTGGTTTAGCTCTGTTTGGAAACATGATCTCTTTTCTTCACAGCTATATTCATCAAGTTTAAAGGATTAAACATTTTAATCCCATTCTTGGAACAAATGCTTATTTTGCAGGGGGATGTCCACATGAAGTGAATTCATTCTCTTAAGACTCATGTACACAGCCACTGCAAAACAGAATCAACTTTCTACTTAGAGGCCAAACATTTTGCTCTAACCAAATTATCAAAAGTGATTGTTGTAATGGTTCTGATTCACTGGGTAGCTGCACCTACATTTTCTTTGGGTTACAGAGCTGCAGCCAAATATCCTGGGAATTCTAAGGAAGGAATTAACTCCACACAGGATAATAAAATTTTGTTTTCATTGAAATGTTTTAAATTGTTAATGTACATTAATATTCTGAATGAACACTAAATAAGAACAATATTAACTATTAAAAATAATGAGTCCACGTGGCATTTAAAATGAGCTATGAAGCTAATGCTGAGAAGCACAAACCACCCAGGTGTGCAGGATCTCACTGCCTTTGTGCGTTCACTTCACTGCTTTGAGTTTCCTTTCCTCGCCTCAGGGATACTGTGAGAAATGAAACTAATGTTTAAAAGTATGACAGCCCTTGCCAGTTTGGCTCACTGGATAGAGTGTCAGCCTGTGGACATAAGGGTACTGTGTTAGATTCTGGTGAAGGGCACATGCCCGAGTTGCAGGCTCGATCCCTAGTAGGGGGCATGTAGGAGGCAGCCAATTGATGATTCTCTCTCATCATTGATGTTTCTATCTCTCTCTCTCTCTCCCTTCCTCTCTGAAATAAAAAATATATTAAAAAAATAAAAGCGTGACATAGCAATGGTTCTCAACCTTCCTAATGCTGCGACCCTTTAATACAGTTCCTCATATTGTGGTGATCCCCAACCATAAAATTATTTTCGTTGCTACTTCATAACTGTAATTTTGCTACTGTTATGAATCGTAATGTAAATATCTGATATGCTATATGTGTTTTCTGATGGTCGCAACCCACAGGTTGAGAACCGCTGCATAAGAGGCTTAGTTTTAGAATTGTTGTAATAATATTTTCCTTATTTATTATCTATGTATTTTAAATGTTTGTGTAGGTGAGCGAAAAGTAAACTATTGCTGAAGCTGAGGAATGACTTGACACTTGTGAAAAGAGATGTTTTCTGATATTAGTTAAATTTTATCCAGTTATTCTGCTCAAATCTGTTTTCCACATACATATCTAACTAAAAAAAGGAACAAAATAGAAGCTTTAAAAATTGCTATATGCTACAAAGAAACATTTTATGTTTTTCTTCCCTAAGTGTCTGACTATGATTTCGAGTCCATCTATGAGGCAACCACGTGGGCAGTAGAGGGAGGGAGGAGGCTAGAGAGGGGATAAATGATAATGGGGGAAAAAAAAAGAACCATTATGACGACACACACACACACATTTAATCTGAGCTTAAAGGATACCTCTTCAGTGGGGCTTTGCTTAACCAATCAATCTAAAAAAACACACAAAAAACAACACACCTTGAAACTGTTGATTATACCACTGATTTTGGATTATCTGCCTAGCATTTGTCATACTTGGTTAATTTTCTGTGGTTGTTTTGTTCTTAGCATAACCGCACTCCCCCACCTCCTTCCCCACCCCTGGCTCCATGGACAACAGTAAATAAAAAAGAATCAACAAAGGTTGAATGAATGAAAAAAAAAAGTCCATTTAGGAGGCCATATCCCAATCAAGAGTGATATATCAGGGAGGAGAGCTATGCAAAGACCTTTCACAAAGACCACTTAAGAATGATACCAAGATACTTGGTTTTATTATATATATATTTTGAAGTATGTGAAGACATGGTATTTTTTTTTTGCTTCAGATATTTTGTTAAATTTGTCCAATTTAGTCATCCAACTGACAAAGCAAAGCAACCCCACGCTTGATCCAGTGTTGAACGGGTTGGTCCGTTTTTAACAACATTGCAATGACAAAGTTAGTAGAATGTCCTGTCGTGGAAAGAGTTCCTTTACGTTCACTTGTCTTGTAGAGGGGACAGATATAGGCATTCGACTTCTCAATCTGATCCTTTTGATCTTGAAAAAAAATAAAAGAAATATTTTCATTTCATAAAGAGAAAAAGACCCAATGGTACTAAAAGAACAACTATCTTGTAATAAAATGGCAAGTGCTAAATTTAAGATTATGGTTATGATATTTGAACATTTGAAAGTTGATGCTACTTTTTAAAGTTTTTATAGTAATTATAGTTGAGAAATAAGGAAGTGATTTCATAAGGTTCATGATTCTAGGTCTGGAGGACAGGAATTGATTTTAATGTCTGGATCACTTACAGGCAAGAAAACACTCAAGAGGACTTGGGAGAGAAGGAGTAAGAGAAAGCGAAGGTAGGGAGGAAGGAATAAAATACAGCATAGGTAATGGGGGAGATGCAAAAAGAGAAACAGTTGCTTAGAGCTCTAATACAAGAAACCCATAAATTAGAAGTTGAAGTTACTATTTGTTTTCAGCAGGTTATTACTAAGACAAATACACCAATTCTTAGCTACTCACAAAAGGAAGTTCACATTTCTCAGAGTTAAACTAGAACTGCATTAATAATGGAAACACTTGATGGTCTGGGTAGTGATTATGGGTGATTTATAAATGTTTTCATTAATAGTTATTTGAGAATAAAAAAATACAGAAAAAATAGAAAACAAAAGAATGAACCTCATTTGTTTAGACTTGTGGAAAAATGATGATAGCAAAGGAGGGAAGGAGCAAGTTACTTTTCCAAGGGGACAAAACTAGGCTGCACCCATGTGGCTTGCAGTGTCTTAAACTTGGGTCACCTGACAGCTCCTAGGCCTAGTAGATTTTGTAGCCAGAAAACTCTAGTTGTTAGCTGGAGACTGTGCCAAGCCTATTTGTGTCTCAGGGAGGTGTGCAAAGAAAAGCACCTGAGAATCAAAATATTGATGGGAAGCTCTAGACTCTAAAAAGTAGAAGTGTGGGGGAAGGACAAAGAAAATGTTACATCCCATGGGATAAGAGCAAAAAAGAGGAAGAATGATATTCCTAAAATAATACAAATGCAACACACAAACGGAGGAACTATTTATTGTAATTGGACAAAACTCTAATAGGCTTGAGCAAAGACTTATTTGGGGGAACAGTTAAAAATATCTACCATTATCCTCCCTAAAGCTCTAAGAAGTTTTGTTAGAAGTGTATTTACTTGGTTTTATCCATATGATAGGCATCAGGTCAAACAGAAGTTTGGGATATTGTTCGGCAAGTAATCCACTGTGAAGAGAAATTGAGAGACATTTATTAGACATAAGATGAAATTTGCTTCTCAGAAACTGCTACTTTGATAGTGGCTTTTAATACAAGAGAGAACCAAAGATATGCAGGAAAAGAAATGTAAAAAAAACAAAAAGAAATAACAACAACAAAATAAATCCAAGGAAGAGGCAATGAAAAATTGAGAGAACCAAAAGAAAACTGTGCAAAGGTGATATGTACAAACAGTGGACAAATATTAATTCCTGCTATTTTTAAAGTGCTGTCCATGAGGCAGACAGTGGCCTATAACATTTCACCCTCTCAATGATCTTGTCCCCAATCCTAATCTGATTTCACAGGTAGAGTGGCGGCTCAGAAAGTTTGAGTACTTTTCTCATAGCAACACAGCTCTGAAATGCCAGTGTCAGGATTCAAATATAGATCTGCCTATCTAGAAAATGTGGCTTCTTTTTCCTATGCTACATTGTTTGTTTGTTTGCTTATTAGTTTGAAAGAAGGAAGGAAGAAAAAGATGAATACATATATAAAGAAAAGTTAAGAGAAATTTCATCACCCAGTAGAGTGATGAAAAAGAAGAGAGAAACAATCAAATGAACTATGTGCATCCAAGTCTTCTCATAGCCCTGTCTTAGAATGATCTCTGTAGAACCACCTTCTTGGTCCTTAAGCGATTTTCTCTGCTTTGGCCTTTAATGTTCCCTTGAGAGCCAAGTCTAACTCTGACTCTGGAAATAGAGGATTATGTTTATTAGTGAATTTCCAGGGGAAATATGTTCTTCCTTCCTCTCTTACCTTATATATTCAAACAAGAATAGCATTGCTGCCCTAGCCAGTTTGAGCATCAGCCTGGGGACTGATGGATCCTGGGTTCGATTCTGGTCAAGGGCACATGCCTGGGTTGTGGGTTCGATCCCCAATCGGGGGCGTGCAGGAGGCAGCCAATCAATGATTCTCTCTCATCATTGATGTTTCTATTTCTCTCTCCCTCTCCCTTTCTCTCTGAAATCAATAAAAGTATCCTATATAATAAAGATGTAATATGCAAATGGTCATTATGCCGTGAAGCGTAATGACTGACCGTGTAACGACCGGATCACGGATCAGCAGGAGGATGGGGCAGTGAGCTACAAGCTGGTGGCGGAGAGCTACAGGAGGGGGCAGGTCAGAAGCTATGAGGGGGAGTAGGGGTGAGAGGGGGGCGGGGGAGCAACAGGAGGGCGGCAGTGAGCTACTGGTGAGCTACTGGTGCACAGATTTGTGCACAGGGCTACTAGTATATATATGAAAAAAGAATAGCATTGCTTAGTTTCCCAAGCTGGAAATTCAGCACTTATTTTAAATATTTATTTATTATGTCATCAAAATACAAGAAAAAGTTTTCCATTAACCAGTAGAAATAATACCTTTAATATAACTGTAAATTGTTTAAAAGTGAGGTGCTCCTACACTTTATAAAATGGAAGGTAACTGTTATAAAACAGAAGAAGTAGGAAAATGATGTCCATTAACTTAGACCACTGAAATATTAACTAAACACTATTCAAGATCTAAAAACCACTCATCACTTGCCCCAACCTGAGTAATGATTTATGGCAAGAATTCTAATATTATTTATTACTTGACATATTCCCTAGAAGAGGCATTTTGGTTGGGGTGGGGGGTGCGTGTCAGGGAGGAAGGCAGCAGCCAGCTTATCTGACTGAAGATTCAGCTACAATTGAGGAGGTCTTTGCTTTGAAACTATGGACCTTGGTCTGTCCCAGCGTGCTCCATCGAGATATAATCCATGGATGTAAACTCCATCTTCTGGTGATGTCTCAGATTTATCATAAGGAATAACCTAAAGGGAGAGGCACACACTGGTAATGATCTCCTCTCCAGATAACTTTAGTCTCATAAAGAAAACATTGGCTAAATCTTCAGAATACATTCAGGGAAACTCTGTTATATTAGAGCTCCTTAAACTATATAATTTTCAGTAAAGTGTAAATGTAAAAATGTATAATACAGTTCTTTATGAAGCATTTTATCAAGTTTCACTGTACCTCATATTAATTTTTGCTAAAATAGAAAAGCAGCATTGGCTTTTTTAAAAGAGAATTTTTAAGAATGTATTTGAGCTCAAACTGACAACATATGCCGAGGAGCAAGATCTCAAATGCTCCTGGATTATTCAAATTGAATATTGAGATATATAAAATTTCTATTATATTATAGAGAAAGCAAGACAAATATTATATACTTTCTTCATGAAATTCAAAGAATGAAAAAAGTCAAATTGCATATAATGGGCTATAAAAATATGAATTCTGCATATCCTCTTTGCTTAACTACATGACTTTGATGTAATGCTATACTGTGCAGTTTAAGAAGTTACTGTACCTCAAATTCATATCCTAGTAAATCAATAGGGATGGTATATTTTCTGGCATAATTCTGCATAGCTCCAGTTAAAAAGGCTTGGGTGAAAAAGAAACCAGAGAGCCAAAATACACAAGGTTTTCCTGAATCATACCAGTCCTGTAAAGAAAAAACAAAATGTATTATGTTTATTTTTTCAACTTACACAAGTGTCACCTGACATAATTCCTGATTCTGGTTTTTGTGTGTATTGCCTACAATTTCCATTACAGGACTCTCTTCCTGACACCAAACACACTACCTATCTTGGCCCTCCTACCTCTTTTCCCTTCTAGTTACTCTTCTTGCAAAATTCTAACTCATTTTAACATTAACCTGAATAAAACAAAGTTTGAAAAATTAAGATTTTCTTCAAAAAGCCAAATATAAATTATTTAGGGGCTTATTTATTACTTAATCCCACTCAAAAGCAACCATCTTCAGAAACATTGTCTAACTCTTGCCCTCATGTGTTGACTCCAGTTCCTTAACCTTCTTAAACTCTCTGCCTCCATGCCCATTGCCCTCCCTCCAGGTTAGATATTCATGGTCTTCTTTCTCTATCAGAGTGTACTTTTTCTTGCTGCTTTTCTCTCTTCCTGCTCAATATTTCTATAACAATGCTGGCAGAGGGTACCGGGCCATGCATGGTTTGGATCAGGTTTAACATCTTGCATCATTTTTCAGTGACCTACTGCTATGCCACCACATTAAAGTCTAAATACACTGTAGTGTAAACACCTTAGTCTTCTGTTCAAGACACTTCACAATCTGGCCCCAACTTGTATTTCAGCTCTATCCCTTTTAATTCCCTTCAAACATCTTACGTTCTAACCAGAATGCACCATTTGCAGGTCTCTTCTTCGCACTGGGTGGACATCTGTTGTTTTTTTCTACTTATCTTAAAGTGAAAATACTCTGGTGGATGAACCCTCCTACACTCTCACTCTAGGTTCTTCTGGCAGTGGTATTACACCTTTTGGAAGGTAAGGGATTCATTGCCTAGCCAATCATACCTCCAGTCATAAGGATTGATTCAGTTATGGACATGTGACCCAATCAAAGCCAGAGATGCTGAGATTCTTGCTGGGACTTTTGGAGAAAAGACTCATTCTCAACTCTCTATAAAGTTGTGAGGCTAGAGTTGCTGTTGCTATCATACTACCATCAGAGGAGAATCTGAGAATACAGTTACCCCACAGAGACTGGAGCCAAGAAATGAAGTGCAAGAAACCAAGACTAGGTGACCATGTTTGTACCCCAACTCACACCCTGCCTGGAGCCACTTTACCACCTGATTTTTCAATTACACAAAGAAACAAATTATGTTTTAGCTTATGTCTAAATTTTATAACAGAATCCATCTAAATTACATCATGCCACAGCTATCTCTCTTAAGTCCTCCTCCTTTTTTTGTAGTGTCCAACTCATTTATCCTTTAGACCAGTGGTTCTCAACCTTCCTAATGCCGTAACTCTTTAATACAGTTCCTCATGTTGTGGTGACCCCCAATTTCATTGTTACAAATTGAACATAATTAAAGCATAGTGATTAATCACAAAAACAATATGTAATTATATATGTGTTTTCCGATCTTAGGCGACCCCTGTGAAAGGGTCGTTTGACCCCCAAAGGGGTCGCGACCCACAGGTTGATAACCGCTGCTTTAGACCCAGTTCCAATGCTACCTCATCCAATAAACAAGCTGTTTTCCTGAGCTAAAAGAACTCTCTTCTCTCTTTGAGTTCCCAAAGCACTTTAGTCTTTTGTGACAGATCCCTTACTATACTGTATTAGTTTTTTTCATAGATATATACACTATCTCCCTATAGGCTATTGGCAACTTGGAGTCGATTTGGCAACTTTGTCCAACAACAAGGTGCTTTGGACAAAGTGGAGTCTCAATTTACATTTGTTGACCGAACAGATGAATTAATAAAATGCACTTTGTTTCTGAGTGAGCAGCACGCTATGGGAAGAAGCCAACTTTGCTTCCTGGGAGGAAGAGAACAAACCCCTGCTAGAGATATTAGGACAGTACAAGCTATCAGATCAAGAGGTAGAGAAAGAGATGGAGTTCCATGAGGGCACAAGCTAGGCAGAACCAGCACTTCACACAAGGAAGCTGTAAGAACCCAGAAGGCAAGTGCTTAGAAAATTCCATTGCTCATTCCACAGCTTCATTTAGTCAAGAATGTCATGAGTGTCTGGGTCAGCTACTTATATACAAGCTACAATTAACTGAGTGCTTTGTACACACCAAGCACTGTGCTAAGAACTTTAAATGTATTACCTCATTTAGTTCACAAAATAACTCAATGAGTTAGGTATTTTCCTCTCATTTTACAGGTGAGGAAATTGGGTTCAGAAAGATGAGTATCTTGCTCAATTTCACACAGATACTGTCAGATCCTGGATTTAATCTGAAAATGATAGCCAGTGTGCATAAAAGCTTTAAAAAAAAAGGTACAGGAAGGAGAGGGGGAAGATAAATAGAGTCAATGGTGGGAGAGAAATGAGAGAAAAAAAAGGACAGGAAACTCCAGATGACTCATTTGCTTAATTTGTTAACTCTAAGAATGATTAAGAGGTGAAGTCAAGAGTCCAGGAGAAAGAAAGATATGGTAAAAATGTGCAGCTTCTGTAAGGGTAAGGGAACAATGGGGGAAGGAGATCCATTCAGGGGAAGATTTGTGGAAAAGGGTGATGAAGTGCTCAATAATGAGACCTTTCTTACTCATTCAAATGGGATGATTTCAAGTGGAAATGCAAATTTCAGAATGTAAAGAGTTTGATGTGAACTTATATTAACAACAACAAATTGAATTTATCCTGGATACTGTCCCAGCTGGCGCCATGCCAGGACCCTCTAAGGGACTAAGCTGAAGACTCATCAGGCCCTTCAGGAACAAAGCAGTATATATTGAAATGCAAGCAGTTCCAATAAAAGTTCTAGAAAAGTTTGGGAAATAAATTAGGGTATAAAAAAAGTAAAAGTGTGGCAAGGGGAGGATGGAATTAACTATGTCAGATGCTTTTGATAAGGGACAGAAAGAGACTGGTACATATAGGAAGAAGTCAAAGACATATTGTAGACATGCCTAGGAATCACCCAGGGGTACACATGCTCACTTATCAAATTAGCAAAGATAAAAATGAACACTAATTACTGAGAAATAGGCACTCATTCACTACTGATGGGGCTATGGTTGAATAAATTTTCTGGAGGATAAATAGGTAATGTATATCAAAAGCCCTAAAAATATCCAAATGGAATCAATTAAAACATTAAAAGAATAAGGTACCACTGACCAAGAGGGATTTTCTAGAAACACAAGAATGGTTTTACATTTGGAAATGTAGTGATATAATTCAATGCAATAATGAGCTAAAGAAGATAAAAAATGATCACCAGCAAAAAATGCTGAGAAAGCATTTGATAAAATCCAACAGTTTCTGATTTTACGAAAGAACAGTCCACATTTATTGAATGCTTATCACATACTGTAGACTGTTACCCTATGAGATAAAAATGCCCATTTTTATGGATAAAGAAACTGAGGCTAGGAGGTGGCAACTCTTCTAGAGCTTAAACACTTAAAACCACTATTCTGTACTGTTTTGTTAAATATTAATCTACATAAAATGCTCCTATAAATTAAAAATTGCTAAGTAGTCCAAAAGAAAAATGGCCTAGGAGATGAACAGGCAATTCACAGAAAAATACAAATGGCAAGCACACATACCAAAAGAAGCACATGCTCACTAATAAATAATCAAAGAAATGTAAATTAACACAACAAGATTGACAAAAATTGAAAAGTGATGTCTGAAAAAGCCTGTCCCTCTAATCTTTACAAGCGCTGGATATTTTATGATTAGCTTCTACAGTGAAACAAATAAAGCTTTTATATAACAAAAAGGCAACTGAACACTGAAAGGTCATATAACTGTGTAAATTTACAAAAAGTACTTTTGGGTCTTTCCCCACCTGGTACCTCTACATAAATATCAACCATAAGATGGGTGTGAGCTGAGGAGTTAGTGAGGAAAAATAGCGCCTTGCCCCATGCTTGCTTTCCTGCCCTGAGCATCCTTTTATGTGTGTATTTGGGGCGGGAGTTGGCCAGAAGGGCGTGGTGGTGGGGTGGTGGGGTGATGGGGTTGGTGGGGGGTGAGGAGGGGGTGAATGAGATTTCAAAGCATTCATCTTTTCCCTGGTTTTATGAGATAGAAGCAACTGATTTTAAGACAATGCCCAGCCCGGCTGGCGTGGCTCAGTGGTTGAACATAGACCTATGAACCAGGAGGTCAGGGTTCGATTCCTGGTCAAGGTGCATGCCCAGGTTGTGGGCTCGATCCCCAGTGGGGGTTGTGCAGGAGGCAGCCAATCAATGAAATTCTGTCATCATTGATGTTTCTCTCTCTCTCTCCCTCTCCCTTCCTTTCTGAAATCAATAAAAACATATTTTAGCCGAAACCGGTTTGGCTCAGTGGATAGAGCGTCGGCCTGCGGACTGAAGGGTCCCGGGTTCGATTCCGGTCAAGGGCATGTGCCTGGGTTGCGGGCGCATCCCCAGTAGGAGATGTGCAGGAGGCAGCTGATCGATGTTTCTCTCTCATCGATGTTTCTGACTCTCTATCTCTCTCCCTTCCTCTCTGTAAAAAATCAATAAAATATATTTTTTTAAAAAAACATATTTTAAAAAAGACAATGCCCAATTATTGATAGACCCAAACCTCAGGCTCTTTTGGTGATTTACCACAAAAGCAGAATCTTTGAAAATATAAATGTCACATATTACTTGGGTTTGAGTAAAACAAAATTTTAATTCTCTATTCAATGCTTTGAAATATGTGTAATTTTAAATATTTTAAAAGTTTGGTTAGATTACCACGAAACTACTAATCACATTCCATTCAACTCAGAGATCTCAAGTGACCATAGCCAATTTCTAATGTCTCCCCATTATATATAATCTTTTACCTGTAAAAAGTTCAACCGGGCTAAAAAATCTGTGATGTAACTTCCTAGGGGCTTAAGACTTGGATATGATCGTTGGGCCCATATTTCTGGAACTTTTCCAACAAGCAAACTTCCGGAGAGTGCCTCCAATGCAGAGTCCATTACAACCACACCCTTAATAGCTTTCTCGAGGTCCTGTAGAGTGCTACGTATAGTTTTAATTAAACTGCAAGGAAAGCAATTATATGATCAACATATATGTGAAATGAATATCAACATGGAATCTTTTCAGAAGAAATAGCAGGAATCTCATTCACAGCTTTATAAGGGTGTTTCCCAAAGTATGGTCACTTCTACTTGGCAATGTAAGGTTATTTTAAGTTATACTTAAATTAACATTTTTCATTTTAAAAAGAAATAGTTTAAATAAAGTAAATAATACAACTAGTTTTTTGGGTATTATTGCATAGGACTAGGCTAATTTAAGCAGATAATGATTAATAGAAAAATGTTACATAAATAATGTTACAGGTGACTTTTAAATGTGGAAAAAGTTATAAAAGTGTTATACAATGTTTGAATTTGGGAAACTGCCTCAAAACATAAAGCTTATATTCATTTATGCACTTTTGAATAATCTGCTTCCCACTTAGGCCCAAACTGCTAAGAATACTATAAATACACCTGATGTCAGGGTTTTAGGCTAGAAGCCTAAATATACCTGATGTGAGGGATAATATGTTATTACATACTAGAGGCCTGATGAACGAAATTTGTGCAAGGGGCTCGGCCCTTGCAGCCCTGTCTTCATCCGGAAGGTTGTCAGTCTAATTAGCATATTATGCTTTTGTTATTATAGATAAGTTCTTGTGAATACTTATTATATGTATGGTCTTACAAAATACTGAATTAATATTTTATTTTAAAACAAGTCTAGAAACCCAAATAAACTTGGAAACACTTAGAAAATTCATGACCAAAACAATGTCCATTCCTTAAGCCCGGACTGAATTGTAGAAAATGCAATTTAAAAATTCAAAGCATATATAATCTGTTTGCTAGGATGGGGTACCTAATCAACCTAGATTGTACTCAGGAAGAAAAACAAGGTGTATATATGTTAAATGGAAGAAAAATGTCAAAAGATGTGACTACACACAGGCCTCATTAATGCTCATTTCATCTTTAGTTTCTGAAGAAACTAATAATGGATTGATGAGAAATTCTAATTAATGAACATTTTTAACCAGATTTCTTTTTCATCATTATTTTTACATTATAAAAGATATCCTTACTTCTGAGGCAAAAGGTTATGCAGTTAAATTATGAATTTAAAAAGGGGGAAATTATAAAGAAATGGCAGGTTTTGATAATTTTTTTCTTAAAGCTTTAAATCAATACCAACTTTTATCAACTTTGGTTGGTCACCTTATGGATCACTGGGGATATAGATCCTTACTTGTTAAATCTTTCCATTTCTTGTACTAACACAGTATTCATGCTCTCTTCATAGCTCACAGGATATTTCAACAGGGCTGCTTCAATGTCAAAATCATTTGGTAGCTAAGAGAATAGATTTTGAAAATCACATATTACTCTAGAACAGATAGTTTCATTCAGCGATAATACTAATAGCTAGCACTAAGCAGTTACTATGTGCCTGCTTTCTATACATCATCTCTCTCTTTTCTTTTTTTTTTGGTTTTGTTTTGTTTTTTTGTTTATCCTCCCTGACCAGAGCTAGGGATCGATCCTGCAACCGAGGTATGTGCCCATGACTGTGCCCTTGACCGGAATCCAACCCCGGACCCTTCAGTCCATGGGCTGATGTTCTATCCACTGAGCCAAACTGGCTAGGGCTCCATACATCATCTCAATTTAATTCTTACCATTTCCTATTAGTTGGCCATTATTATATCCATTTACAGATGAGGCATTTAAGTAGAGGATAAGTAACTGCCCAAGGGCACACAGCCAAAAAGTGATCTGTCTAAACCCACAGGTCTTTAACTCCCAAGGCCCATGTTGCAGGACATAGCACTTTGCAGAAGATAAACATTTCTGAAAAGTAGTATAATTTCCTTTTGTAAGTTGAATCTTATTTTGTATTGATAAAACTGATGTACCATTTCATAACTGTTTTATATTGATTCCCAATCAATTATCAACTGGCTTCAAATAGCTTGGAAACACTTAGAAAATTCATGACCAAAACAATCTCCATTTATGCTATAAATCAGGGGTCCTCAAACTATGGCCCGCGGGCCACATGCAAATACAAATATTGTATTTGTTCCCGTTTTGTTTTTTTACTTCAAAATAAAATATGTGCAGTGTGCATAGGAATTTGTTCATAGTTTTTTTAAAAAACTATAGTCCAGCCCTCCAACGGTCTGAGGGACAGTGAACTGGCCCCCTGTTTAAAAAGTTTGAGGACCCCTGCTATAAATAAATAATGTGTGAATGTAGCAGGGCTCCAGGGCATTGGGAAGAGAAGGCCATCAAGTGCCTGATTTCTATGAGGCACCTCAGGGATGCTTGAGAAGTGATGAAGGGGACTTTGGGACTGATGATCAAGCTGCAAGACATTGGAATTCATACTCCTTAAGGGACAAAGAAGTTTCCCAATCAGGGAAGTACCAAACTAAAAAAAGTTGAGCTGCCCAGAGTATCTCCAGGTGATGGTCCCTGGGTGTTGCTAAAGAATTCTAAGTCACGCTAGGTGGTGTCACTCAAGGACCCTTTGACTTAGTACAACCCCTCTACCCCATATAAGTCCCAGATTCCAGTGTCAGGTAACTTCCTGTTAGGAATCTTGTAAATGCCACCACTCTGCAAGGGTGAGAACCTTTCCCCACAGCGGTAAATCACAGAAATGGTAGGGGATCAGGGGTAAGGAGAGGCAAACAACGGAAGCAGCACTCCAGGGGTATGGGTGAGAGGAGGCTAGTTTGCTCTAACTCGGGGGTCACAGGCATTGCTGTTGCACTCTCTTCTCCAGTGGTAGCAGCCAAGTGAGTAGGCTCCTAAGGAGTGATGTCAGACAAGGCTACCAGCTGTGAGAGTTGAGGAGTGGTGCTGCCCATGGGCTTTCAAGGCAGATGGACAGGTTATGCTATGTCAGAGTGCCTGACACTGTGGGGATAATTACAGTATTTGCCCTACACAAGAATTGTGAAGAACTGTGATTGGGACCATGATGTTTTTAAAAGTTACATTAGTTCTTTATTGAATTTAAGACAGAAAAAAAGGTGAGAGGGCTAATTAAGAACATTGGGTTGTATTATGAAAAAAGAAAAAGAGTGCTAGCAGCTAATTCTGTGCTTCCTCACTTCCTAAGGTAGCCTAAACACTATTCACTCCTTGATCCAGTAAGTTCAGACCATTTCCTCCATTTTTTAAAAGTAGGTCCATTATTGCTCTGGTTGGTGCAGCTCAGTTGATTGAGAGTTGTCCCATGCATCAGGAGGTCGCTGTTTCAATTCCTGGTTAGGGCACATGCCCAGGTAGCAGTGCCTGGGCATGTGCCCTTGATTTTCAGTAGTGGGTGTATAGGAGGCAGCTGATTGATGATTCTCTCTCATCACTGATATTTCTATCTATCTCCCTCTCCCTTCCTCTCTTAAATCAATAAAATATATATATTTAAAAAAACATGTTTCTCTCTCATTGATGTTTCTCTCTCTCCCTCTCCCTTTCTCTCTCTGAAATCAATAAAAACATATTTTTTTAAAAGTAGGTCCATTATCTTTGCTTAGAAACGACAATAAATCATATATGTTCATTAGCTCATCCACAGCTATAGTTCCTAAGAACTTATCATGTGCTTGGTGTTATGCAAAGTACTTTATTTATTTATGTCATTTATAATAACTGATAATCAATTTATTAAAAAGGTTGATTTAAGCCCTAGCTGCTTTGGCTCAGTGGATAAAGCGTCGGCCTGGGACTGTAGGGTCCCTGGTTGGATTTAGGTCAAGGGTACGTGTACCTTGGTTGCAGGCTCAATCCCTAGCCTTAGTCGGGATGCATGGGGGAGGCAACCAATTGATGTGTTTCTCTCATATTGATGTTCTTCTTTCTCTGTCTCTACCCCTCCCTTCCACTCTCTCTAAAAATCAATGGAAAAATATACTTGGGTGAAGATTAATAAAAAAAGGGGGTGGGGTGGGGTGAGAGGTTGATTTAATTATCTACAATGGTGACTTAAACCTGGACTCAGACTCAATACTGCTGGAAGCAATCAAGGACTGTGCAAGTCAATGAGTCGCTTGTGGCTCCTCATCTGAAACTGATCCTAAGTCTTAGAACCCTCCCCACAGGAAGTTTTTCCTGTAGTGTTTCTGAGAGCCTGGACTGGCATCTGAAATAGTCCTTTCACTTTGAGATTCTTTTCCGTTGCCCCTCTGATCAAGTAAGCATGCACCTTCTCCAAAGATTTTACATTGTGTCTGGTTAGAGTAATTCCAATTAGGAGAATTGCCACCTCTGGTTGTATGGGTGTCTTTCCTGCATCTTTAAAAGCCTTGGCTGCAGAGCACCTTCCAGACCCACTTGCTCTTGGGCCAGAGTGAACAGCAGTGAGTCAGGAGCAGGAGCAAGCCAGATGGGGCTTCGCTGCTATGCAACCCCGACTTCTTTATTTAATTTTTAAATTTATCTTTATTGTTGAAAGTATTACAAATACCCCCTCCCCCCAATTAACCTTCTCCACCCTGCACCCGCTCCTCCCAGCCTTCACCACACTACTGTCTTTGTCCATGGGCTATGCATATATGCATATAAATTCCCTGGTTAATCTCTCCCCATCCACCCCCTCCTTCCCTCTAAAATTCATCAGTCTGTTCCATACTTCTTGTCACCACTTCACAGATCTGGAAACTAATGCTCAGAAAGGTAAAATATCTCACACAAGGTCATAATGCTCTTAAATGAAGTTTTCAGATTGCCATTTCAGTACCATTTTGATTTATATTATATTATAAGCAACATATTTTAAACTAAAATTACCTTTTGGAGAATATCTCTGCTAATTTCAAATAGAATCTGGTCAGTACTTCCTGAAGATCCTGTCTGTTTGGAGCCTCCCTGGGTGAGAAGCAAGGACTCAAAGAGGACTTTTGTTTGTTGAAGGTCTTTGGAGATATCAACATTTTCATGTAATCCAAATACCTCAGGGTGTTGAGTAAATGGAAGTTTCTACCAGAATAGATCAAGCAAGCATCACATTATCACTGGATACATTAATTCATAAGGTAGACACGTGCAAACCAAAAAGGGTTAAAAATCAACCAAACAATAATGGAATCAAACTTTTCTAATTTTTAATAATTATTAGAAACAAAAGATTTTGAAAATTGATTGGAATAATACTTATCTAACCCTATACATTACCTTGGAATTGTTCACTATTTGCTTTTTAGAAAAATCACACTTAAATCTAACCCTATTTTCAGTGATATCAGTTACCTTAATGAATTCAATGTAATCATTATAGGTGCCTCTGGGAGGTGCAAAATAGTTTCCACTGGGAGAAAATTTATAATGAGGGTTTTCAATTATGTGTGTATTATAAAAGTCAGCCAGCATGGTTAAGAGGAGCCGTCTGTCCCAATCATCTGTCACTCTTCCTCCATAATTACACTCCCCAGTCAGGTAAGAGATAGCTTCAAATGGAATTGTGTCATATTCATTTATAAATAACTGAAAGAAATGAAACATAAAAGAAGAAAAACAAAGTCTTTCACTTCATTTCTATTTTAAGATGACATTAAATATCTATCTATCTATCTATCTATCCACACAGAAGTGGGGTTGAAAGAATTATCACCATGCGTTATCTTGGGTGACCTTTCGGAGGCCACATGTCATAAAGGCCCTTATCATAGCTAAAAAACAGAAAAGTATTAATATTCTGTGTTTACCTAATTGGGCAAGTTCACTTCCTAGTTTTGGCTTTCTTAAAAATAAGAATAGTACCAACCTTATAGGGTTGCTGTGAGAATCAGAATATAAGTAATGTGCCGAGTTCAAAGTCTGAGTTAGTAGGAATTTACAGTAGACATTTATTTATTTATTTGGAGGGAGGCTGCCAACCATCTGAATGTCTCACACTGTGAGTCCTAGCCTCCCTTATAGCTAAAGCCTATGCCTCTGACCTGGTCTTGGTTCCTCAGATGCATCCATCCTAGACTGAACTAGGGTTTTAAGCAAAGAAGTAAGAACAGCAAAGAATCGTTTTTTATGATATCAGAGGGCCTGCAGCAGACCAGTGTGTGTGTGGCAGGTATGTGAGCTGCAGTGTCTAATATTCAAGAAAAGTAGAGGCTCTACTCTTACCAGATATGATGTGACTCTGAATATGACTCTGGATGCCTTGGCTCTCCAGCCATCTTGGTGATTCTGTGGCCTACCCAATATTCTTTCAATAAATTCCTTTCTACTTAAATTAGACAGCCTGTTTCTGTTGACTGATACAGCAAAATTGTTGATTTCACTGAGTGGAGAAGAGGAGAGGACAGTGAGGGCCTATATAAAGCCAACACTGAGGAGGGCACTGCAAAAAGACAGGGTCCTGATGACAACACTTTTGCTGAATCAACCAACTCCCAGAGCCTGTCCTTCCTCTGCACTCTTTTTTTTATGTGAGATAAGTTTCATTATGGTTTAAGCCAGTTTGAATCGGGGTTTCCATTATTTGTAGCAGGAGAAAAATCCAGATGGAGATAGTGCTTCATAAACCATAGTTGTAATTATTATTGCTATCTACCCACCTATTAGTGATGTTGGGAGAATTAAGTTTTTCTAAGCAAAGGGCCTGATACACAGTTATCCTCCATTAGTGTTAGTTCCCTTCTAATTTTACCTGCAGTTGTCGAATACTGATGCGTAAGTCTGATTCATTAAATCCATATGGAATATTCCAACCAAGAGGACCAAATTTCTTTCTCTCTTGTACGAGGGCATGAAAGAAACAAACTCCAAACAGCAACTTCTCCCATGCCTTTAATATAAAAATTATATAACAAGAAAAAAATTCTGATCAGATTTTCTTCAGTCAGTGATCTTTTTCATTGTAAGATTCTGTGATCATATATCACTAAAAACTTCTACTTAAAAAGTATTAATTTTGTGACTTAATACCTCCAAAGCTAGACAAACTGCAATAATATTAAAATTCATTAAAATGTAATGACTCTACCATTTACCAAAGTATTGGCTAATAATACCTTGGTATTGTTCATAGGTATTTATAACTTCAATACTTAACTGTTATCCTATAGACTCATTGGCACATGCTTGAGATTACTAGTGCAGGAGAATATATAACTATTATCCTACTAGAGGCCCGATGCATGAAAATTTGTGTAAGAGTAGGCCTTCTTTCCCCCCAGCTGCTGGCACCAGCTTCCCTCTGGCACCGGGGACCCAGGCTACTTCCCTCCTCTGGCCACTCGCAGGCACCTGGGACCCAGGCTGGCTTCCCTCTGGCTCCAGCTTTGTCAGTAAGAACATCGGAATGATGGCCAGAAGATGTCTGGTCTAATTAGCATATTACCCTTTAATCATTATCTTACCTAATAATAGACAAACATGCAAATTGACCGTACCTTCGCTACACCTTAAGCCACGCCCACCAGCCAATCAGAGCGACTATATGCAAATAAATCCAACCAAGATGGCAGCCGGCAGCCATGGAGCTGGAGCAAGCAGGAGGTGTGGGTGCCCCAATGATGGAAGAAGCCAAGCTTCCCGGCCAGCTGCTGCCTCCTTTCAAGGCAACAAAGTTTCAATTATGGAAGGTAAATAAACCCTAGATACCTGCTTCCAGCCGCCATGGCCACGAAGCTGGAGCGAGCAGGAGGCTTGGTTGCTCCAGTGATGGAAGAAGCCAAGCTTCCTGGCCGGCTGCTGCCTCCTCTCAAGGCAACAAAGTTTCAATTATATAAGGTAAATAAACCCCAGATACCTGCTTCCAGTCGCCATGGCCACGGAGCTGGAGCGAATAAAACAAAAAGGAAAGGCTGGGAGCTTCGGTCGCCGGGGGGCTTGGTCAGTCTGAAAACAGCCCTCAGCCCCTCACCCAGGCTGGCCAGGCACCCCAGTGGGGACCCCCACCCTGAAGGGGGGTTGGGCAGCCTGAAAATAGCCATCAGCCCCTCACCCAGGCTGGCTAGGCACTCCAGTGGGGACCCCCACCCTGAAGGGGGTTTGGGCAGCCTGAAAACAGCCATCAGCCCTTCACACAGGCTGGCCAAACCCCCATGGGGTGAGCATCCCCACTGGGGGGCTTGACCAACCTGCAAACAGCCATCAGCCCCTAACCCAGGCTGGCCAGGCACCCCAGCAGGATCCCTACCCTGATCCAGGACACCCTTCAGGGCAAACCAGTCGGCCCCCACCCATGCACCAGTCCTTTATTCTATATGATAAAAGGGTAATATGCAATTTGACCCTAACAGCAGAACGACTGGGAATGACTGGTCACTATGACACACACTGACCACCAGGGGGCAGATGCTCAATGCAGGAGCTGCCCCCTGGTGGTTAGTACGCTACCACAGGGGGAGCTCTGCTCATCCACAAGCCAGGCTGATGGCTGCCAGCACAGCGGTGGTGGCGGGAGCCTCTCTTGCCTCCTCAGCAGCACTAAGGATGTCCGACTGCAGCTTAGGTCTGCTCCCTGCTGGCAAATGGACATCCCCCAAGGGCTGCTGGGCTGCCAGAGGGATGTCTGACTGCCAGCTTGGGCCCGATCCCCCAGGGAGCGGGTCTAAGTCAGCAGGTGGACATCCTCCGAGGGGTCCCAGACTGCGAGAGGGCATAGGCCGAGCTGAGGGACCCCCCGAGTGCACAAATTTTTGTGCACCGGGCCTCTAGTAGATATAATAAAAACGTAATATGCAAATTGTGCCCTTGACTGGGAGTTCTTCTGGGAGTTCGACCAGAGGTCGGGGCCTGCTGGGGGAAGGAAGGGAGGCCCTGGTCAGCAGCAGGCAGTGGGGAGAAGGGAGGGAGTACTCGGCTGGCCGCTGCCAGCCTCTAGGGACCCTACCAGTGCATGAATTTCATGCATTGGGCCTCTGGTGTTATGAATAAATACCAATATATAGTTTCTGATTTTGTGACTTTCCATTTGGAGATCATTTTTGGAAAACATTGTTTATTTACTTTCTCCATGGTATCTTCACATGCATGTCACATGGGCCTCTCACTAAGCCTGTGATAGAACTCTGGAGGATGGCCTCCCATCCCTTTGAGATCCCTGCAATTAAATTTCAAGTATGCTACACCGTCTGTATTTTAAGTTAGGCCACCTCAAACTTAGCTCCAAATGCTGTAAAAATCCATCCAGCTATTTTCATGTGACATGGTAGTAGAAATTGTTTCTGTAATATTAAAATGAAAGTATACCATGGCTTAACTGAATAGCTGTATTCTTGAAATGTTGTACATAAACCAAAGTTTATTTTACATATACTAGATGAATGCTGTGGTGATACATTTAATAGGGGAAAACCTTTTGTCAATGAGAGCAATCAACTAATTTAGGTGTATCCGCCACATATTTTCACATAATGGGTTTCTTGAGGTGACCATTCATATATTCTAAAAACACTCTTAAATATATATAATCCTTTTCTGAAGGCAGCATTCCCCTACACCCCATATGTGTTTTTTTCCAACTGATCTCTGAATTACATTTTCCAGGGTACATCTTGTGACTAAACCCAAGGTGGCAGCAGGCTAATATCATAATCTACCTAAAGATGATATCATCAACCCAGCATCAGTGAGATCTGCCTTTTGGCTTGTTTTCTATGATGTGGTGCTGGTTTGTGTTGATTCATCCAAATTCCTTAGCAATGCATATAGAGATTTTCACAGTCTTGTCCCTATATTCTTTCCCACTCTTATCTCCCATCAGTCAAGCCAAAATAAGCTACTTGTTGTTCTTTCAACAGCTTTGTCATAATTCTGTGCCTTTAGGCATACTTCCTGTGCCTACTTCAAATGTCACTTTCTCCAAGAAGTTTTCCTCAATCACACAGAAGTGGGAAGAGACACTTGTGAGCTATATGACTTAGACACTTTATTTGATTTGCCCGAGTTTCCTTATTTAAAAAACAAGGTTGTTATATATATATATATTATAGAGTTATAAGGCTTGTATATTCCTGCTGGAGTTCAATAAATATTTGTTTCCTTTCTCCCCTCCTTTCTTTGTCCTCCCATAGTTCATAATACAACCATGGCAGTGGTTTTCAAACTAGTTAACATCTGAATTTCCTTTGTTATTTGTTTGTTTATACCAGTTCCTGAGCTCCACTTTGAGGGCCACTGACATCTGTAACTTTAATATGGCCTGAGGTTTACGGGGATTATGCTTAAGCTTGCCTTGCATATACTTCCCTTGACTAGGATGTAAGCTCCATGAAGACAGAGATTTTGATATATTTATATGTTCATTACCAGTTCCTAGAAGAGTGTCTTATACCTAATGTATTCAAGAAATATTTATTGGATAAATTGATGAGTGGATGGAAATTCAGAAATGTATCCTTGCCCTTAAGGGGCACACAGCTGGTTATAGGAGACAGATATATAAACTGACAAATAACTAATATGTTATCATTGCTAGATAATTTAAATGGCCAAGATGTCAATTTAACTGTGATTATAAAGATCATATTTACTTTTAATAGCTAAATGATGATAGTTCAAATTATTGCTGGCCCAATGGTCATAAATTAGTCTTATCAAAGGGCATCCCAGTTATTTCTGGGAGCCTCCAAAGGAGTTTCATTATGTGCCTACAAAAAACTCCCAGTCAGCTACAGAAACCCTAGGGCAATGGTTCTCAAAGTGTGCTTCCAGGACCATCAATATCAGCATCACCTAGAGATGCATTTTTTTAAAGCTCTACCCCAAAACAACTGAGTCATAAAATCTGGCAGTGGGGCCCTGCCAGATGAATGTGATGCACATTGAAAACCAATTGTCACAGGGCAACCACACTCTTTTTCTTCTGTTACCCTAGCTCCCATTTGTTTTTACTACCAGAACAGTTGCTTGGTGAATAAAAATGATGATACATGGCTAGGGTGCTATCTTTGGATGTTGTACTAATCTCAAAACTTGATGTGCCAACGTTGCTTGCTCAATGATGTAATATAGAGAGTGCTGCTTTTCCAACTCAGTACCATTCTTTATTTGGGTCATCTAAGCCTCAAAGCAGCTCAACTTGTGTTTGGAATCTTTAAAAATTTCCCTTCTCTGCTTCTGGCTCTCTCCTCTAATTGCAAAAGCTCAGACCCTGAGTGGGAATCAGACACCACACCTCCATTCTTGTCATAGCTAAAACTACCAAGTTTCCTCTTTTTCTTCCAGAGTTACAAACAAAATCATCATTCAGAACTAGGGCACACAGAAAGTATCAATAAGCAGAAACAAACTAGTTTGCATCCAAATTCAATCCTTTACCTTCAATATCATTATTTTTCTCACTCTAATAAGCAAATATGATATACAGCATGCATGTATTGAAGGTGAGAGCAGGGGATTTCCCCTAGTACTGATGTTTTCTTCCATGTGGAGAAAGTTCAATTAATGTAATACTCCTGAATTTTCTCCTTCCTTGTACTCATTCAGGAGAGGGGAGTGACCTATCTGATCAGTAAATTTTGGAAAAGTTAACCAGATATGCTTTGCTCAGCTTCTCCCTTTTCTCTTTTAGAAGCAAGCTTTCTGCAGGAGGGAATTTTTCTGTTTCTTTGGGTGGATAAGTCTGCTTAATTCTGGGTTCAGTAATATGAAGCCCATTTGTTCACAAACTATATCTTCCAACTTAGTCTACATCAGTAATTAAGGTTATAATTTGATTCCCATGCACTTATACTTTTCCATGTTTCTTAATTGGTAAGAATTCAGGCATAGAAAGGAGTACTATTTATTGGGACTCCTCGAGTATCCAATGCCATATGCAAAACTGTTTTACATGGATACATTGAAAAGCATTATTAATACATCAAAACATTACTGCTAAAATTTAAGTTCCATGAAGGCAGATTTTTTGGGATTGTCTATTTTATTCTCATTGTTTCATATCTTGTACCTAGGACAGTACCTTACACACATATTTATTGAATGAATAAATGATGTAAACTAGATAGCTATTCTTGGGTCTTAATCAAATACGCTATGGGGCTTTGGTTTAAAAACTAAGATAAAATAAACTATTGGGGGAAAAATGAACAAGATAGGTACAATTTCTGTCTTCTTAGAAAATGCCTAACATTTAATATTCTTAAATTAAATATTTATATTTCTATATTCTATCAGTATAAAAACATATTTTAAAAGTTCCAGAAGCTGAATATTACCAACTCCTTTCCATGGCATCCATTAAAAAAATGATGATCAGAAATTGGATCAGTGAGATATGATTGGAGGAGATTTAGCCGAAGACCCGTAGGAGGTTCATTAGTCATTTTCACTCCGTTTTGTAGAATTGTTACGGGGAACTAAGACAAAATAAAACAGAGAGCATTACTCAAAACAACCAGCTTGAGTCCTAAAAATGCATGCACCAGTGAATTAAAAATAGGTATAAAAGAGGACTTCAGAAATGTTTCTCTTTAAACCTCTTAAAGTTAAGCATTTAGAGCGTGACTAAGATACACATGTAACAGATAATTAAATAAGTGTACTGAACTCCATAGGAAATAATCATACTTTTGGAGATGGATAACTTGTAAGCCAAAGCCTAAAGGATGAGTTACAGACATCAGGGGAAAAATCTTCACATATTTTTTCCAACATGGGCATCCAGGAGACAGCAAGGTGACAATTCTGTAGGCAAACCCAAGTTCCTTCTTCTATTGCTGCTTTAATCATTTTTGTTGCAATTGGTCCTTGTCCCTGTCCCAGTGAAATAGCTTGAAATTTATTTCCAGTCATAGCTTTATCATTTGCAAATTTCAGCAGGCCTAAGAGGGCACAAAAAAATGGTTTCACTGCTTACTCTAAAATTATAAAATATGGCTTATGTTTTTAGTAATAGGTATTTAATTAAAAAATTCTAATTACCTTTCCTTATAAGTACTGGATTTACTAACTGACTTACAGTCATATAAAAGTGGATATTAAGTATGATGATTTATTTATAATTTCTTTAAAGTTGATAGCATATACACTTACTGGCCATGGGATCTGCTCCAGGAGATAGCACAAAAATTAAGGGAATAGTGCAATTTGAATCCCAGTAACTCTTTGTCAAATCAAATGGTGGAGGCTCTACAAACTTTTTCCCCAGTTTGTCAGTTACATAATTTGTTATAGCTGGAGTTATCTGTTAAAGAAAGAAAAGTTATGATTTTTAGAGTAATTTTTATTTCACCTAACATCTTTATTACTGAAAACCAACAAAGAGTGAAATATGAGTTTAATGGCCAAGAAAAGCACCCAGCGTATCACAGACAATGCATAATTTATCTAATACATAAAAAGTGTCTATAAATTGATTAAATAAGACTAACAATCCAAAAGAAAAATGGGCAAAGAACATGAACAGTTTACAGAAAATGAAATAGAAATTGATCTTAAATATATGAAGAGATATTCAACCTCATTCAGTATAACAGAGACCACAATTGTCCCCCTTCTTTGTCTCCTTTTGGCAATAGAACCTCAAGTTTTCCCAACCTTTTTTCCCCAGCTATATGTGGTCATGTACTAAGTTTTGGCCAGACAAATACAAGTAGAAATTATGAGTGGAGCTTCCAGATCAGCTAATCTAATAAAAGACAAACATGCAAATTGACTGTACCTTCACCATGCCTTAAGCCATGCCCACAAGCCAATCAGAGTGACTATATGCAAGTTAACCCAACCAAGATGGCGGCTTGCAGCCACGGAGCTAGAGCAAGCAGGAGGCTTGATTGCTCCAGTGATGGAGGAAGCCAAGCTTCCCGCCTGCCGCAGCTGGCTCTGAGTTCCACTGAAGGCAACAAAGTTTCAATTATAGAAGGTAAATAAATCCCAGAATAAAAAAAAAAGAAAAAAAGGAGAGGCTGGGAGCTTCCGTCGCCAGGGGGGCTTGGCCAGCCTGAAAACGGCCCTCAGCTCCTCACCCAGACTGGCCAGGCAGCCCAGTGGGGAACCTCCACCCTAAAGGGGGTGTGGCCAGCCTGAAAACAGCCATCAGCCCCTCACCCAGGCTGGCCAAACCTCCATGGGGTGAGGGTCCAGACGGGGGCGGGGGGGCTTGACCAGCCTGCAAACAGCCATCAGCCTCTCACCCAGGCTGGCCAGGCACCCCAGTGGGGAACCTCCACCCTAAAGGGGGTGTGGCCAGCCTGAAAACAGCCATCAGCCCCTCACCCAGGCTGGCCAAACCTCCATCGGGACCCTACCCTGAAGGGGGTGTGACCAGCTGCAAACAGCCATCAGTCTGGTTAGGCATCCCAGCAGGACCCCCACCCTGATCCGGGACACCCTTCAGGGCAAACCAGCTGGCCCCCACCCATGCACCAAGACTCTATCCTAGATAATAAAAGGGTAATATGCAAACTGACCCTAACAGCAGAACGACTGGGAATGACTGGTCACTATGACACACACTGACCACCAGGGGGCAGACGCTCAATGCAGGAGCTGCCCCTGGTGGTCAGTGCGCTCCCACATGGGGAGCTCTGCTCAACCACAAGCAAGGCTGACGGCTGCCAGTACAGCGGTAGTGGTGGGAGCCTCACCCGCCTCCTCAGCAGCGCTAAGGATGTCCAACTGCAACTTAGGATTGCTCCCCGCTGGCAAGTGGACATCCCTTGAGGGTTCCCGGGCTGCCAGAGGGATGTCTGATTGCCAGCTTAGGCCAAATCCCCCGGGGAGTGGGCCTTAGGCAGCAAGTGGTCATCCCCTGAGGGGTCCCAGACTGCAAGAGGGCAGGGCTGAGAGACCCTCCCCACCCGAGTGCACAAATTTTTGTGCACCGGGCCTCTAGTATTTTCATAGGGAAGCTCTCTCTTCAACAGATGTAATGTTCATGAGCCAGCCTCATCTTGCTGATGAGGACCACACTGTATGGGGCTTCTCTAGCATGAGAGAAGGAACTTGAATCTCTGGATGATCTCAAGACCAGAGCTGGCCTGCCAGCCCTCAAGCATTTGCTCTGGGCTGTTTGGAGAGAGAGAAATTAATTTTCATTTTATTTAAGCTGCTGTATTTTTGGTCTCTGTTACAGCAGCTTAGTATACTCATAAAATACAAATTATAACTATACTTAGATACCATTATAACTATACTTAGATACCATTTCCATTGATCAGATTGTATATAAATGGGACAAAAATAGCCTCTGTGTATTCACTCCTAGATTGTTTATTTCTTCAGGGCAAGCTGAAACCTGTTAGGTCAAAAGCTCACTAGCACCAAACTCAAATTTTTATGTATTCAGTTGTTTTAAACATAGCCCAAATAATCAGATTTTTAGCCATTTAGAGCCTACCTACATGTTGGGTTTTGCACTGAACATCTACTAATCATCTATCTATACTAATAAAAGGGTAATATGCTAATTAGACCAGGAGATCTTCCAGGAGACCTTCCAGACAAAGCCATGGTGGCAGGGCCCAGGCAGAGGCGGTTAGGGGCGATCAGGCCAGGAGGGGAAGACAGTTGGGGGTGATCAGGCCTGTGGGGGGGCAGTTGGGGGAGAGCAAGCAGGCAGGGGGGCATTTGGGGGCAAGCAGGTTGGCAGTGGGGGGCAGTTGAGGGTGAGCAGGCCAGCAGGGGTGGGCAGTTGGGAGCCATGAGACCAGCAGGGAGGGCAGTTGGGGGCCATGAGGCTAGCAGGGGAGGGCAGTTGAGAGCAAGAAGGCTGGTAGGCAGAGTGGTTAGGGGCAATCAGGCAGGCAGGTAGGTGAGCGGTTAGGAGCCAGCAGTCCTGGATTGTGAGAGAGATGTCTGACTGCCGGTTTAGGCCTGGGCCTCAGACATCCCCCAAGGGGTCCCAGATTGGAGAGGGTAAGGCTGGGCTGAGGGACCCCCCCCCCCCGTGCATGAATTTTGTGCACCTGGCCATTAGTATATATATATAAGCCTAAGTGACCATTACGACTGGTCGACCGGTAGCTATGACGTGCACTGACCACCAGTGGGCAGACGCTCAAAGCAGGAGCTGCCCCTTGGTGATCAGTGCACTCCCACAGCGGTAGCACTGCTAAGCCAGAAGCCAGGCTCATGGCTGGTGAGCGAAACTGAGGCGGGGTGAGCCTCTTCCACCTCTGCAGCAGCACTACTTAGCAGCGGCAAGCACAGCGGGGACAGGATGAGTGGCTCCTTCTCAGCCCACCTGCTGCTTCGTGCACTGTTACGTCCCTCAGGGGATGTTGGACTGCTGGTTGCCTGTGAGGATCAGGTCAAATTCAACATCTGACATCCTCTGTGGGGTCCCAGATTGTGAGAGGATGCAGGCCAGGCTGAGGGACCACACAGGTGCACAAATCTGTGCACCGGGCCTCTGGTAGATAAATAAGCTCCAGGACATTAAGACTCCAATTGCTTTCAGAGCTCTGATATTGAGACTCCCACCAACCATTGCTGTTAGGCAACATTACCTAGACACCACATGAGCCCCCTCTCCCTTGGGAGTTTCCTTGACTCCCCCTCTCCCCTCTTAGAATAGTGACATCTTCCCAACCACACCCACTACTCCAAGCATTTTGACAGACTCCTGCTGTGAGAGACTTCTCCTTTCCTAACATGTAAACCTGTCAAAGCATCATCCAATGAAGTTCATGTGGGCTGCTGCCACCTCATGGTCATATCTTTTTCCTTGATCAGCCCCTCAATTCCTCAGTCCCTCTGCATAGCTTGTCAAAAGTTTGGAAACATATTGTGTGGGCAAAAGTATAGATAAACGGATATTTTCATTCACTGCTGCAGAAGACTAATCTTGTTTAACATTCATGGAGGGCTATTTGGCAATATCTATAAAATTACAAGTAGGTAAATCCACTTACCCAGCAATTTTATTCCCAGGACTTTATTCTGAGAGAGAGTTACAGATGTGAGAAATAACTTTAAATATATATATTGATTTCAGAGAGGAAGAAAGGGGGAGAGAGATAGAAACATCAATGATAAGAGATAATCAAGCTACAAGGAAGGAAAAACCAAGATGGCGGCATAGGTAAACACTGGAAATTGCTGCCTCGCACAACAATTTCAAAAATACAACAAAAAGACAAAACGGACATCATCCAGAATCACAGGAAGGCTGGCTGGGTGGAAATTCTACAACTAGAAGGAAAGAGAAAAGCACACTGAGACTCAGAGGAGGTGCGGTGTGGAAGTAAAATGCAGAGGTACAGAGGCTCACTCGAAAAGGGCTGGCAGCTGAGGACTCGGTTGTCTTTTTCAATGAGGAGGGAGACACAAGCTCCCGACTGCTCTGAACGCCAGTTCCGGGCGAGTCTCTGGGGACCCAGACTCATACGGGGAGAAACTGGACTGTCTGGCATTGGGCAGAACTCGAGGGCGGCTTTCTCTCAGAGGCGCCTGCAGTGATTACTGTGGAACAGTGAGACCTGGGTCCTCTTAGGGCAGGGCTCAGGATCAGCCATAGCTGTTTGCTCTGCCCTGTTGATTCCCTGAGACCCTGCCCCACCCAAGCTGTGCGCAGAGGCTTTTGCATATGAATGCCTTGGCCCTCTGCAATCTAGAATTACCTAACTAACTGGAGCTGGGTCAGAGAGACCCAGAACATCCAAAAGAAACCCCAAGGCCCCACAGCAGCTTCATTGCTTCTCAGCTGGGCCTCATCTAGGCACCTTCAAACTCCAAACAAAGAAAAGGAATCTGCAGATCTCTCCGTAGCTCCTGCTGGGTAGCCTCAGGAAGAGGCTAAATTAGCACCTCCTTAGAGATCCAAGAGCCAGTATACCCAATGGTCAGAGTGGGACCATCCAGATTACAACTCCTCAGATCCATAAGGGACACACGCAGGGGGCAGACTCAGTGATCACCAAAGCCCCACTGAAGCAAGTCTTGCCCCAGAAGGGTGTTTCCAGCACAGAACTTCTCCCACCATAACCACAGCTGATTCTCACAGTCAATTGGCCTGGAGGTCAATTCCTCCCAGTGATACCTACAACATTCAAGGCTTAACTACAAGACTGTGCACAAAGCCCACAAAGGGGTGCACCAAGAGTGTCCACCTCAGGTAATTGGGGAGGCTGAGCCACTGGGCCCTATAGGACACCTAGCACACAAAGCCACTCTACTAACACAGGGAAGCATAAAAAATGCAGAAACAAAGAAACAGGTCACAAATGACAGAAATGGAGGAAA